TTCCACTTGAACGCCTACATAATTTGCTTGATCATGGGACAAAGGAATGTATACCTTTGTCTAGTAAGTTGTATACTGTATTTCCTCCTTACTGTGACTGAACAGTTAATTTTAAGAGAACTCTGTTCTTTCATGGCGTTGCAGTGAGACAATGCTTCATGCATCATTTGGGTTTTCTGAAAGTTATACCCCCTGCCTCCCGGTACATCATTTCACTATTTTTAGGCACAGCCATTAAGAATTAGGGTCTTTGATTTTGGGCACTTATTATCCTAAAGCCTCTGCTCTGTTTGAGGTTTGACATAACTTATTCCCACTACTCAGTTTAGATAAATCAGGTTAGATAAATCAGGTTAGATAAATCAAGATAAAAGATTTGTCCGATGAATTCATTTACATAAGATATCTGAAGAAAGTGACAGGAACAGATATAGAATTGCTTCTGATCTGTACTTTCTGCGTTCATTTTTCATGTCATTGGATTTTATAGCTTGTTTCAGCAGTTTGAACTGTGACATGTTTTCACCATAAGTAACAACTTACCACTTGTTAAATTACTGCTATAACGGACTGTTGCAAATTATACACTACTTGTTGTTCTATAAATTCATATTTGTGTCTTTCTTTCTGACCTAATCTTAATAAACAAAATTGAGAGCATTATATTTTGAGCACTTTGGAACAATGAGTTATATCCAGTTTTGGATTACTTGTACTTCTTTGCTCCAAAACATAAAAAGGTGGACTAGCGCTCTGAGTTCTCAGAAAACAATGGAAAATTTCCAGTAGTTAGATTTTAGCATTGTGTGTGCTAGTTTTATATTGCTTCTCTCTCTCTCTCTTATATTGTTAGTCCTTCATGTCATCACATCTGGCTCTCATCTCTCCTGCATTCTGATTCCTCAAAACCCAGTAATATAATTCAAATAAATAATACTCAATAATTATATAATGCATTATTTGCTATTTAGAATGTTGAGTGTCCTTTCCTGAGAGCTTATGCTCAGAGCTCTCTAAAATTTAAAGTTGGGAGTAAGCCACTTTGGACATATTACAAACTCTTAAGTTACACTTTAAAAATAAAAAATTCTTGGCATGGGTGGTAGAAAGGTATTGTCTAAATTTCCTATATCTAGCTCGAAAAGGATAGTCCTTGCCTAAAGCTCTGTGCTTCTTGGAAATAATGTGAGAACGCTTGAATTTGCCTTCTTTCACAAAGGACAGGAAGGACAGGATGTGGGATGATGTTGCCTCTAAGGACCCATCTCGAATATAAAATGGTTCCAGTTGGAGATTTGTATATGGAAGGAATGCAGGAAGTGTACTATTGCTGATCTGCTGTTACTTTCCAGTTTCATTTGGGACCATCCATGCATCCATTCAGGGTTTATTTTAGGCCATCCTTTCAAGGGTCAATATTATACTCTACATGGTTTTATAGTAAGTTAGTTTTTTTTTTCTGAGTAGCATTTTCAGTGAATGTTTGAGTAAGATCCAACTTTATATGCATTCATCCAGTGAGACTTGTTCTTTAGGATATCAGATGCTGGTTATTAATATTTTTTAATCTGACTTCACTGGAGAGTATCTTGTCATAGTCACTACTATTATGTAATGCCCTTCCCCACTTGAGCCACATGACTCTTTAGCAGCAAGGAAAGGGAGACATCCTTCAAGGGTAACAAAAAGTCAAAGTGAGAGCTTCATAGTTCCTCATACTGTTCTTCCTTAAAAAGGAAAAAGGTTTCAGTTTAGACTATTCCATTGGTCCATAGATTAAAGAGGTCTAGCTAAAAATGAGAAGAGATTATTATAGTAGTTTCCTTTTCAACATGAAAAAAACTCTGGGTTTATAATGCAATTAAAAGCTAATAATACAATCTCCTAACTAAAGCAGCTGCCTTATAGAAGAGGTTTTAAGCTGTTTAGAATCATAGAATAACTGAGTTGGAAGCAGTCTATAAAGCTATTCAATCCAACTCCCAGCTTAATACAGGAATACAAGCCAAAGTAGAATTGACCAATTGTTATTAAATTTTCTCTTGAATTCTTCTAGCATTGGAGCGCTCAACACTTCTTCCTCAGTTCTATTGTCACACTGCTATAACAGTGAAGAGGTTTTTTTTTCTGATGCTTCCAACAAATTTTGGAACACCAGTGATAATAAATTTAAAAAATATGTAGTTGTGGAAGAGCCAGTGTTATAAAATTTTGGTAACTGTATCATCTGAGTGTAAGACAAAAGAAAACTTAGGATGTTTGCACAATGATACTGAGTTACTGAGCAGGTGAGAAATGAAAAGATTTGTGGGGGGAAGTTTTAGTCCTCATACATTCTGCTAGGATAGGTGTTTGTGTCAGTTTTTTCATGTACCTTAAGGACCTGTGAGAAAAAGCTAGCAAATGTTCAAAAATTGCCAGTTCAAGATGGCACACTCCTTAGGACTGAGGAGCTCAATTTTTCCCCATCTTCAGTAAATGATACTGAGTTACTGAGCAGGTGAGAAATGAAAAGATTTGTGGGGGGAAGTTTTAGTCCTCATACATTCTGCTAGGATAGGTGTTTGTGTCAGTTTTTTCATGTACCTTAAGGACCTGTGAGAAAAAGCTAGCAAATGTTCAAAAATTGCCAGTTCAAGATGGCACACTCCTTAGGACTGAGGAGCTCAATTTTCCCCATCTTCAATATAGGACAGTAGTGGCAAACCTTTTTGGGCTCACATGCCCAAGCTGGAAAAAGAAAAAATCAACAGTGGGTGGTGTGCCACTGCTGCGGCAGCGGCAGAACCAGAAGTGGACAGCAGAACCGGAAGTGGTGGTGGAGGGGGGAATCCTGGCATGGAGGTGCCTCGAGACCCCACTCTGGATCCTCTGCCAGCACCAGCTGTTGCGGATCCGCCTGCTAAAACACCAGCACCGCGGCTGCAGCCACCTTCTCAGGTTTGGCTGCATCGGGGGGGGCAAGGTAGCGATCTGGTGACTTAAACACCAGCACCGCGGCTGCAGCCACCTTCTCAGGTTTGGCTGCATGGGGGGGGCAAGGTAGCAATCTGGTGACTTATGGCTCATAAGCCGGCAGAAAGGGCTCCTCATGCCAGCTGTAGCATGCATGCTATGGTTCGCCATCCCTGGTGGCTCCGCTCCGCATGCCAGCTGTGGCATGCATGCTATGGTTCGCCATCCCTGGCATAGGATAACAGAATTTGGCACATAGAAATTAATAGTCAATCGATAAGATTTAAGTGACTTAGAAAATATCACACATACACAAAATACATTTAATTGATTCTTGGTGTTTAGTCGTTAAGTCATGTCTGACTCTTCGTGACCCCATGGACCGCTCCGCATGCCAGCTGTGGCATGCATGCTATGGTTCGCCATCCCTGGCATAGGATAACAGAATTTGGCACATAGAAATTAATAGTCAATCGATAAGATTTAAGTGACTTAGAAAATATCACACATACACAAAATACATTTAATTGATTCTTGGTGTTTAGTCGTTAAGTCATGTCTGACTCTTCGTGACCCCATGGACCAGAGCATGCCAGGCAATCCTGTCTTCCACTACCTCCCGCAGTTTCATCAGATTCAAGTTGGTCGCTTTGATGATACTGTCCAGCCATCTCATCCTCTGTCATCCCATTTTCCTCTTGCCCTCACACTTTCCCGACATCAGGGTCTTTTCCAGGGGGGATATTTATTTAATTTATACATATATATATATGGAGAGAAGATACTCTGGTTTGTCCTTAGAGAGTTTAGTTACAAAGATGTCTGGAAGAGGCACCATTAAGATTAATTCCACCTACAGTGGTGCCCCGCATGACGATGATAATCTGCCCCGGGAAAATCACTGTTTAGCGAAATCGACATCATGCAAAAACCCTTTCCCCATTGAAATACAGTGAAACCCGGTTTATTGCGTTCTAATGGGGAAAATATCTCATCGTCCAGCGAAGATCGCCCATAGGGAAGCCATTTTGTGAGCATCGATCAGCTGTAAAAAAACGCTGCCCTGTGAAGCATGGGTCCAGAAAACACAGGGCAGCCATTTTGCAAAGCCAAAAAAATTGTTGTCTTGCGAACAAACGATTTGTGAAGCAGTGACCTAATCGATGTCCAGCGAAAATCCTCCATTGGAATGACTGTTTTGCAAATCGCTATAGTGATCGCAAAAAGTCATTGTCATGCGGATTCATCATTTAGCAGGGTCGTCGTTTAGCGAGGTGCCACTGTATCTTGGTGCTACTACTGTTGTGCTGACTAATGTTGTATCCATTAATGGAGGGCATCTGCTCTGAGTTGAGTGTTGTCTCTCTTGAGTTTCCTGCTTCCCCAGAGACAGTAAGTGGTGGAGTTGCCATTAAAAGGACGGCACACTTGCTTCATGCTCATTTAAACTCTTTATTTGTTTTAAATGAATTGTAATGATTGAACTGTTAACACTGGAGAGTTAATGCTGTCCTGGGGTGCATTATAGGTATTGCATTTGTGTGGTTTCATGGTGCCTTGAACACAGTGCATTTGTGGAAAAAGTATTATATGAATGAATTGTTATAATGGAAACTAGTAGTCAAGAATATCTGCCTTGAAAAGAATGCATAGAGATATTGGGCATATGATCAATCTGGTTAATCAGTGAGAATCATGATATACAGTACAAAAGTAGTTGCTCACCAGTACACCCCACTCATTTAAATGGCATTGTTTACAAATAAGTGGGATTCCCCTTTAAGTGTTTGTGGTAATTTAAGATCTGCCTTGTAAAGATAGTTTTTAAAAAAGGATACACAAATTTAGTTTTAAATTAATCCCATAAATACGTTGCTTGAAATATTGCTAAAACAGTTTAATGCCCCAGTATGTTTCTCTGCATTAGTAAAATGTTTCCGTTTGGACCATTGCGATTTCTGTTGAATGCATTTTTTAAAAAACAGTATTTTTGTTTTGCTATTTGTTCTTGTAAAATAAATGCTTCTGTTTGTTTGTTTTTAAAGGTGCAAGATACCATAGGAAAAAATCACATCGTTACTACATTTTAAAACATAAATGAAGATAAATAGTCCATTTATGGAAAGTGAGTAAGATTAAATGTATTGGAGATTCTTCAGTGCAAGCTTAAGTAAATTTATCAGAGAGAAAATCCTATTCAACATAAAAGGACTTCTGTTTAAACATTTATGTTGCACTGTACATCATTTTGTTCAAGGGAAAAACACACACATTGCAGCATTTATTTCATGTTGCATCAGAGAAGATTGAGATCATGAGAAATGAATGTATCTAAGGATGAAATGTGTAGGTGCTGTTCTCTATGAATTATTCTATTAAGTATTAGTAGGTGATTTATGTATTACTATCAGTTTAATAATCAGAAGACCTGGCCCATTTACTGAAGACCTTTGCTCCTAATAGCAAAGGTCAGGAACAAAGTGTGTGAAATTACTAAATGTCGAACTAGGTTTCAGCCTGTTATGTTATTAGTCCCCACAGAAATGCACTGCGTCATCCATCATAAAGGATATAAGTAAGAAAGGAAGCCACAGGGTTGAGCTTGTAAGAACTGAGCAGGGCTGTTGAAAAGAGGACATTTTGGAGATTACTGATTCATGAGGTCGCCATACGTTGAGGGTAACCTGAAAGCCCAGAAATCACACACACACACACAAATTGTTCGTTGCACCTGAAGGTAGCAGACTAGCCAACACTTGACATGGCAGGCCACATGGCACACTCATCTCTGTTCTCCAACCATTTTTCATTACTTCCCATCTGAGGCAGCTTTCACACTGTGCCTAATAATGGGTTCAGCTGTGCCTTTTTTAAGCTAAAGGGAAAGTGCCTGTGTTTGTGCACTAGGATGAAATAGTTCACTTGTGCACTTGCTCTGATGTTGAAATTAGGATACTAAGAAACCTCCATATCCATGGAGTCAGTATCCACAGTTTCAGTTGTCCATGGTCACCACTCCTGCAACCCAGCCCATAGTGCACATCCACACACTACATGTGCACGTGCACTTATCTCCTCCTCTTGCCTTTCCTTTCTCCTTTTGGTCTCTAATAGTTTTACTATCTGTGATTTCAGGCACTCTCTTGGGGGGGGGGCTTGGAAGCTATCACCTGCAGATATGGGAGCCCTACAGTATTCCACCCCTATTTTATTCCCTTGCAAGTTGGACCACCACCCTTGTTTCATATTAAGTCTGGAATTAAAGCTTAGGTGCCCAAAGCATGGCTTTATGCCAGAAAGGATGTGATTTATAACATTCAGAATTTATGAGTGGTTGCTCAGGCATGGAGGAAGAAATGATACCATGTAAATTTTCCATCTCTGGCCTAAAATTGAAATATAACCTTGATTTCTTAAGCAGTTGTACATTATTATATTGTTCAGTTGTTGTATATATTTTACTGAAGAGTTGGCCTTTCGTCAATGTAAAATAAATGAGATAAAATGAAAGGTCTACTAAGCAATGGCCCAAATTCTGTTACATAAATTATGCATGCTGAAAAATGATGATTTTCTGGCAGGGAGAGATTTACAATAATTAAAGACTTCCTCCTTCTGTCCTGTGGCTTATCCAACTTCTGAGTAATCTGTTTCATTCCATGACAGCTGTAGAAGCCAGAGTGCAGAAGTTGGAAGTCTTTAATTAAAAATCTCTGGATGATGGTAGTGTCATAGAGACATTTTTTTGTAATTAAAGATATCCTCTTTCCCTGCCACAGTTCCCACAGCTTGCTCATAAGAAAACAGATTACTCTTAAGTTGGATAAGCTGCAGGACAGAAAGAGGAAGTCTTTAATTATTAAAAATATCCCCCTGCTAATGACAAACCTATATTTATGACATTTTATGTGAAAGAGCTCCCAATATTTCTTTTTCTAGAAATTACTAACAGCTCACACTTTTTGCCAATCTAAACATTTCACAGGGTCCTTTTAACATTTCCTAACTGGCAATTTTTTATGCATGAAGAAGTAGACTTGTCCACAAAAGCTCACATTAAAATATAGTAGTTAATTCTTAAGGTGCCACAGTGTTTTTGTCGTCTTTATTTTTGTTTTGTTTTTGTCTATCCTACTAGAACAAACTAGCAAGGCTATCTCTCCTATAACAGACATTTGTAGGCAGCTATTCAAATTGAATATACTTTTTGTGAGGGTGAAATTTCCGTGAGAAAGCATAGTGAAATTCTTGGAGTGATATCTTGTCTGTCCCGGCTGCATTGCTCAGGTGACCAGATGAAAAGGACAGAATTCTTACACTTTTAAAAGTTGTTTAGAAGAGTGAATTTCAGCAGGTGCAACATTTAATACACCATCCACCTTCTGAAATTTCCTCATCCACACAACTGTTAAAGGTAAAGGAAAACTGTCCTCTTTTTCCTCTGGTCATCCTAATGCTGCCCCCTTTTGAATCCCACTCACAAAAAGATAGACCTCAAAACATTGTGGATTATTTGCGATTTTCTGTATACCTGTGAACCTGTAAACAGGAGGAAACCTGTGAAAGTGAAGCATTCTCCCATTAGAGGCAAAATACCAAACCATTCTAAAATGTATGGCCACAGCAGAATCCTGAGAGCAAATCCTATTAAATTTACCCTGGTTCCTATGAAGCCCATCAGTGAAGCCCATTCAGTGGGCTAGTTCATATCAAAATAGTATGTATGGATAAAATGACAGAGTAACCCAGTGAGCTGTATTGAGCTCCCTGGAAGAAAGGAAAGATAGAAGTAAAAATAACTGGCTACAGTATATCTATGTAGTTCATTAAAAGAATTGATATTTTTCTGGCATGTAATCTTTGGAGTTGATGGTAATATGAACTGCAACATGTTTTATTCCGGTAGCAAACTGTGGGATATGGGCATGTCTTTGTTTTGTTTTATTTTGTCCATTTACTTCTAGCTTGCATTTAACTAATTCTTGCACATTACTATCAGTTCATAATTTACATGATAATTTGGCTACAAGTATTCAAGTACTATTTCTCTTGCATCCATTTCCTCTTTAAAATATTTACATATGTAACACACCTTGGCTGGGAGCAGATTTCTATGTTGACTGTAAAGAATGGAAAGAACTTGATAGATTTCAAAACTGAAGAGAATGTGTTGGCTTTTGGGGGTGGGTGGGAGTACCAGTTAGAACTTGAATGACCTGACTGGCAAATTTTTGCTCTTTTCATTGTTGTATGTAAATTTCTGGCCAACTTTTCCACTTTCTTAAAGTGACTGTGAGATCCTTGAAGAACTGAAAAAACAGGCTGTTCTCATCTGGATGGTATGTAGTTAGCATGAGGGTAGATTGTTGTCATTTCCCTGTTGTTGCTGTTGCAATTCAGCAGTGAAAAGGGGATAAAAATCCAGTCCTCTGTTGTCATAAAATAAAACACACATCAAATTGTAAAAGAGAGCTCCCATAGTCTTTGCTTTCCTTGACTATTCTGCTGGTGAAAGAAACACCTAGTTTTTCTTTTTGTAGGTGCAGGAATCTAAAGAAGGTGTTGTGAGGGTTCCCTTCTGGGGAAAAAAGGGTGTTTTTTTCTTGGATATCATGTACCTTTTATATTTACCGGCACACTGAATATTACTCTTCTCTTCTCTTTTCATGAGCAAGATAACAAAACTAGTACTATCATTTATGGACAATGCTGATTTTCTAGATCCCCCTCCCATTTCTAAAAAATCTGACTGGTTCAGATCTAGCTTCAGATAGAAATGATTTTGGCTGCAGTGATGAATAATTTGCAGGAGGAGTTGGTCAGAGGAAATGCAACCCTTGAGGATCTTCTGACCTCCTGGGGCTATTTGTTAACCCAGTCATCGTATCCCTCTGGATCACCTATTGTGGACACTTCTTTTTAGTAGCTCTATGTGTTGTTGACAGCAAGATTCCAGAAAACTTTGTCGGGGGATAATGGTTTGTTGCTGTGATACTTGTTTTGTCTTTTCCCTGCTTACCCTCTCATAGTATTCAACAGAAAGATAGAAAATTTTCAGAGATAGTAACCATAGGGCTTTCATTACCTTCAGCTGATATCCTGATTATTTTGCTTGTGTAGTAATGTCTAACTTTCATTACCACTTGGTTATGCTTAAGACTGTGTCTAAATAACTTTTGGAAAGCACATCTATCATAAAATACAGTGACCAAATTGTTGACTAGAATTAGGGTTACCATGTTATCTGTTTTGCTATGTTTTCTCCAAGATTATGGAGGTGCCATCTGGTTATGTCTTTGGACCATCATCAGGTCTGGATTCTAAGCTCTTTTTTAAAGAATTAAAATAAAATAAAGTGAGTCTCTAGCCCTTGTAGAACTGTCAGGCAAAAGGTACAGTCAGTGCTTTGACCTTCTGGCTGAAATCTTGTTGCTTAGTGTAAACGTTTGCACTAGTATAGGCCTATTTAATAAGTAGGGTTTGGTGGTTCAACATGTCCAGGGGTCCTGGCTCATGTAGTTTATTTATCTGAAATGTTTTCTAGCTCCCTTGTGAATCTTTTTCCCTGCATAACATAACAGGGAAATCATCTAACAGTGATGGGGATTTAGAAGCTGGTAGCATATTGAATTGGCACTTGCTTTTGCGTTTGTGTGAGAGAAAAGTCAATTGTGGCAAAGAAAGTTAATACTGTATTTCTTAGTTCTAATAAAATATTCAGCCTTTTCTCTGAGGGAAAGAAATTACACCTTGTTTTTTCCCCAGTTTTGGCAGTTTGACTTCATTTTCTATTGTATTCTTTTGTGTAAATCAGATGACAGTGTATCATTCATGGAGAATTCCCAGGGTATTCTCATGGATCTTTAAGGTCCTTTTTAACATCAGTTAAAATGGCAGACAATAGTACCGATAATATGATATTTTATTCTGAAAATGATCCTGTAAGGAGAGTTTGGTTAAGAAATACCAACTGACTCAAAGATACCAAGTAAAGCCTTGTGACTAAGAAGGGATTTGAACTTTCCTTTTTCCAAGTCCACGATTCTGATCATTGCACTATACGGGTTCCCTCAAATCAGTGGTTACAATATAAATAATTCCAAGACTAAAATACATTGGTTGAAA